TTCCTAAAAGGAAAGAAAGGGAGTGAAATAGGGAATATGTAGACTTTCTATAAGAAACTTCTCTTGGTTGATGTTTTTTACTTAGAGCTGAATCTGATGCAGCCTGGTTTGCTTGAGATCAATCCATAGACTTTACAATATACCCAGGTCATGTATTGCAGATTTCTGTTCTTCCAGGGCTAAGGGGACGGGCCCAAAGTGTACAGCATCCAATTTTCATAGCAGATTTAATCTATGTATGTGTGCAGTGATGTACTAAAGATGGACCTGCTTATGAAGAGAAATGGTCCCTGGGAGCAGGATAGATGGTCAAATGTAGTAACACTAAACATCAGATTTGGAATCATAGAATCACAGAATGGTTTGTGTTGAAGGGGCCTTAAAGCTCATCCAGTTCCAACCCCTGCCACGGGCAGGGACCCCTTCCACTGGAGCAGCTTGCTCCAAGCCCCTGTGTCCAACCTGGCCTTGAACACTGCCAGGGATGGGGCAGCCACAGCTTCTCTGGACACCCTGGGCCAGCGCCTCAGCACCCTCACAAGGAAGAGCTTCTGCCTTATCTCCAACCTGAACTTCCCCTGTTTCAGTTTAAACCCATCACCCCTTGTCCTATTGCTACAGACCCTGATGGATGCAGCTGTAAGCAGTGGAGAAATTCTAAGTCATCACCCTATTTGATACTCACACTTTTACACTCAGTGAAGAGACAAAAGTGTCTCCAGAAAGTGATCCAGATATCCTTATTGACTGGGGGGTTTTCCTGCAAGTACCTCTACAAAGTAGCTTAACTCAGGTGGGGAAACTCTTGTTGCATCTCTACTTCCTACCTGAGCCCTTGGACAAGCCACTGTGGCCTTTATCTGGCCTTAGTGACTGAAGAAATACATCAGGGCACCCAAAAGCTTTGTAGAGCTGGGTCTTCACCTGTCTGTTATGCTTCCAATACCATCTCTGACTGGGGTGTTTCCCTATCCCACAGGAGTATTAAAAGGAGCAAAGCATATTTTGACAGTGGAAGTCACTTGTAGTGCTAAGCAGACCTCACTTAATTGCTGAATCAACCACAGTTTAGCTCTTATGCACCTGATGGTACTTTATCACAAAGAATTACCTTCATTTAGCTCCACATCCTGGATTTTACCCTCCTCTTCAGCCTTTGCCTCCAGCTCCTGCAGCTCCTTTGAGCATCCCTGCATGGAGGAGAGGGCTGCCCAAGCAGCTTACGTGGATGGAATAAACTTCTGGAGCAGCGGTGGCTCCTCCATGAGAGCAACCCCTGCTTCCTGCTGCCGGTGGGGCTTGTTGCACACAGGCTTTCAGCCTCCTTTGGTGCCTTGGCAGCTCATTGCAAGCAGGCTCTGCCACCAAAGCAGTGGCACAAAGGCTTTTGGCCACAGCCCAGGCGTGCGTCTGAATCCCCTTTCTGCAGAGATTAATGGGAACCGAACAGAGAGACCCAGCACAGGCCGTCAATGGGCAGTGTTTGCCAAGCCTAGGCTGGGTAGGATCCCAAACAACCTTCCCATGCGGAGCAGTGGGTGCCCTTGGTTGGCTCTGTGAGACAAGAATTACCTTTCTCAGAGATGTTACACCTCTGCCTACCTGTCCCAGTGCGGTCCTTAGGGTCAACCCCAACTCCAACCACCCCTTCTGCTCTGTGGTGGGCTTTTGGGGTGAGTTGGAGCAGCTGAGGGCCCTGGGGGGGGGGGTTCAGTGTGGAGAAGAGGAGGCTCAGGGGGGACCTGATGGCTCCCTACAAGTGCCTGACAGGAGGATACAGCCAGGAGGGGCTGGGCTCTGCTCCCAAGGAACAAGGGATGGGACAAGAGGAAACGGCCTCAAGCTGCGTCAGGGCAGTTGTGGAATCACCATCCCTGAAATGGTCTCCTTTCATTTAGACACGGGCTTGCTCAGGTGCAATTGCACCACATCTGAGATGAAGCGTTTGAGAACTGACAGGCAAAGCCCAACAGCTGGACAACCCCTGCTGAGTATATACACACAAACCAGGGCTCATTCCCATGAAGAGCTGTAGTGTGTGTAAGAGTCTTAAAAGCAGGATTCAATCCTTATCATTATGTCCTGGGTTCAGCAGTAGCAGTCATTTTTCTCCTTCTTAGTAGCTGGTGCAGTGCTGTGGTTTTGACTTTCAGCCTGGGAACAGTGCTGATAACACCGATGCTTTTAGTTGCTGCTTAGTAATGTTTACTCTGACCAAGAACTTTGTGAGTCTCATGCTCTGCCAGGGAGGAGTGGAAACAGGGAGGAAGCAGAGACAGGACACCTGACCCAAACTACCCAAAGAGGTATTCCATACCACAGCACATCATGCCCACTGTATAAACTGGGGGCAGTTACCCTGCAGGGCTGGATCACTGCTCGGTCGGGCTGGGTATCAGTCGGTGGGTGGTGAGCGGTTGTATTCTCTTCCCTTGTTATTTCCCTTATCATTATTATTGGTGGTAGCAGCAGTGGTTTGTGTTATACCTTAGTTATAACCCGTGGGAGCTGCATTCTTTCAATTCTCCTTCCCATCCCTCCTAGAGGAGGGGGAGGAAGAGGAGGGAGTGAGCGAGGGCTGTGTTGCCGAGTTCCCAACTGGGCTTAAACCACGACACATTACAAACACCTTATTCCACATGAAGTGGGAATTCAATGCCAGGTCTGGGTCTGACTGACCCTGCTGTTCCTACCATTATTCGCATCTAATAGGAAATAAATCTGGTCACAATAAATCTGACACAGTTCCCTCCTCCCATTCCTTCTTGCAGGGATATTTAAAGCCAGAGAGACAGCCGCTGAAGCTGCTGTTATCTCTGCTCAGCAGTTCCCAGCTGGCTGATGTGACCCTTAATCTGAGATAATCAGCACTACCTCATCCTTTCAGATGGGACTTGCATCCCTCCTCCTGCCCCAAGACGCTATCATCTCCTGCCAACTGCACAGCTAAATGCAAAGACAGCTTCAGCATCTCCAGGGGCTGGAGAATAGTGATGTGCTGCCACATTCATGCTGGGAAGTTGGGGGTTTTTTTGGCTCTATGCATTAAAAACAATGATTACCATATGAGTAAATAGATTCATTAGAGACAGCACATGCATTGGGATTGAAGTGGTTGGGCAAGAAGGAAAAGGAATAGATTGAACAGCACAGGCCAGGGGGATGTCATGGGGCAAGGGATGTATCTCTGGCAGTCAAGCCTGTATGTGACAAGAGAAAACTAGAGAAGGAAGGTTTGGGGTTAAGAGAGGTGAGAACACAGCATGAGTGAGGGGATGAAATAGTTTCTGTGACCAAGTAGATGGTAAGTCAATGGTGGTCTTAAAACTGGTCTCCATCTGGGTCTGTGGAAGTCACTGGTGGGTTTAGCCCAAGCCAGGCCACGGCAAAACAGTGGGGAACTGTTGTTATCTCCAATAAGTAAGCCTGGAGTAAGCCTCCTGCCTGAATGCAGCTGTCTCAGCCTTGCACTATGTAGGGAGAAGTGGGTGGTGAGAAATGTTCCCTAAGGCACCCACAGCAAAGCACTGATGGCTTTCACCTTCTGCCAAAGCGCATACTAGAGACTGCTCCATGCTCAGTAGACCCGAGCTGGAGGCAGATGGTTTCGCTCCACACAACAGCAGGCTCAAACTTTCTTTAAGACACATGCTAAAATTATCACAGAATTAAAAAGAAAATTGTGATAAAATTATTTAAGACAAGTGTTTCGTTTCTCACAGTTCCCAAGAGTGTGATCATTTGGGTAGAAGTAAAGCATCTCCTTCAAAAATGCCTCTAGCCTTGACGTAAAGGACTTGCAGGGTACGAAAGAGGCTTCATCCTGAAAGAAGCCTTTTCCAACTAAAGGTAGGTACTTCAAAGTGGTCATTAAGGTCTCTCTAGAGTCTATTTTGCTCCAAGAGACATACCTAAAGCAAAGGGCTTGACTTGCTCTTTAGAGGGATCCCTTTTCCATAGTGACTTTGGATGAAGCTCCAGATTCTGTCTCTTCGGAGTACACTGAACTTCCCAATGGCTGAAAGCTGAAGCTTATGGACCTCAGCTCAGGCATACAAACACCTATTTAGATTTACATGACTTGATCTTCCCATGATTGGATTTTGCTTGCTGGGGAGCTAAATGGCCCAGCAGTGTCTGTGAAGGTACTCATGGTCATGACATTCATGGGCAGACTTGGTATCAAATGTGGCTGTGCCTTCTTTCTGCTAAATATCACGATGTAATCCCACTCCTGAATAATTCTTACGGCTCTACTCTGCTCCTCCCAGTTTTCACATGCTCCAGCAAGTGGATCTGGAAGTGTTTGAGGCCAGGTTGGATGGGGCTTGGAGCAAGCTTCTCTAGTGGAAGGTGTCCCTGCCCATGGCAGGGTGTTGGAACTGAATGAGCTTTAAGGTCCCTTCCAACCCAAACCATTCCATGTTTCTATGATCTGCTCCCATGGTCCCTTCTCCTCTTCCATGACAGCAGTGACCCAGGGCCACCCTCTGCACCATCCCTCTACTCACACCTCCCACTATCACTTCTCTTCCAAGTGTCACACTAGAAACTATTTTAGTCGTTTCTCCACTGTAGCCACCAAACCCCCTCTGGACACTGCTTCCCAGGACCCTCCTTTAGCCCTGGGTGGCATTTATTTCTTGCCCAGTTGCATGACAGCGCATTCGCCACCATGAAAAAGGCATTTCTTTATGAGGCAGCAAAGCCTATGAAGCGTTTCAGCTTGCTTTCCACAGCAGCCCTGTCTGCCAGGTTATTTATAACTCGTCTAGTTTGTTTGTCATGGATAAATGTTATCAGGCCCCGAGGATCTTGCTGTCTACACCATGCATGTGATTTGTGCACAGAAAGCTTTTTCTTCGCTCTGGCTCCCATTCAAAATGCAAACGTACCCAAAATAACACAACTGCTGAGACAGGCAGCAGGAAAGAACCCAAAGGAATGGGGAGAGGAAGGGATGGTTTAAATGCTGCTTGGAAGTGATCGACAGTCGCTGCTTTGGAGTGCAAAACGAGTCATTTATTTTGTTTTTAGAAGCTTAAATACACCAAGCTGGAATTCCTGCACATGCTTTGCAGATGATCACTACTTCCTTCTACATCTTTTGCTATACAGAGCACCCCCAGCAGGAAGGTGCATTGCCATAAACACGGCAGGGAGGTGCTTTACATGTGGTCTGAGGAGTGTTGTCTCACACAGAAGCAGATTGTAGGGGCAGACAGGTTCATGCTTTGTGTACTCCTGTCACAACAAGGAAAGCAAGAATCAGCCAAGACAAATCACTTCTCATTTTCTCTGTGAATATTCTTTCTATCATGCCAAAACAAGAATAAGAGTTTCTCCATCCTTCAGCTGAATGGAATGATCGAAGGTTCTCTTTTCTGGTGAGACCCCACTTGCAGCACTGTGTGCACTTCTGGTGCCCTCAACATAAGAAGGACATGGAGCTGTTGGAACAAGTCCAGAGGAGGCCACGAGGATGCTCAGGGGCTGGAGCAGCTCCTGTATGGAGCCAGGCTGAGAACATTGGGGCTGTTGAGCCTGGAGAAGAGAAGCTGCGTGGAGACCTCAGAGCAGCTTCCAGTGTCTGAAGGGGGCTACAAGGATGCTGGGGAGGGACTCTCCATCAGGGACTGCAGTGATAGGACAAGGGGTGATGGGTTCAGACTGAAACAGGGGAAGTTCAGGTTGGAGATAAGGCAGAAGCTCTTCCCTGTGAGGGTGCTGAGGCACTGGCACAGGGTGCCCAGAGAAGCTGTGGCTGCCCCATCCCTGGCAGTGCTCAAGGCCAGGTTGGACACAGGGGCTTGGAGCAAGCTGCTCCAGTGGAAGGGGTCCCTGCCCGTGGCAGGGGTTGGAACTGGATGGGCTTTAAGGTCCCTTCCAACACCAAACATTCTACAATATGAATCATGAGTCAAGGTGGTGATAGGGGGTCCCAAGCCACACACTTTGACAGGGTGCCCATACCAAAGCAGTGAATTGCTTAAGGCACAGGGGAACAGTAAGAGAGGCAAAAATGAGTAGGAAATATGGACTGTGGTCCTTGGAAGATCAGGCTATAGGAGGATAGAGGCCTTTGGCCCTGAGGGCTATCACAGCATGGGTTGATGTACCTTTGCTTTCTTTTGTGCCAATTTAACCAGCTGAGGGAAAGGTGCCAGTTTCTCCCCCTATAACCATTCCCATTAAACACCCCACTGTGAGGGCAATTTGATTGCAATGAAATTGCCTTTTACCAGCACAAATTTCCTTTTCTCCCCTCATGGGAATAACCTATACAAGCACTGATTCTCCTTTATATTGCTTAAGAAACACATTATGCTGCTCAAGACCTGAGAAAAGGGCTAACCCACATGCAAAGGCCTTAAGGAGAATTTGAGGCTGAAAACATCCAGATAGTGCACCTTGATGATCAGAATGAGTCTGATAGCCCTGAGACTTCCCAAATGTGACTATGAAGAGCATAAGGTATGTTTTATGCAGTGAAACACTGTGCTTGTCTCTTGGGCAATGGAAGAACATACGCTTCTTAAAGAGAAGAGGAGATCAGTGTGTCCCATTGCAACCAGTTTAGGTTTTTCAGCAGGGACTTCTGTTTGCCATGTACAGGCAAGCCTCATATCATCACAAAGAAGAGGTGAACATCTCAGAGTTGACACACATACTAAAGAGAACCTCATAGAAACCAGCTATAGGGGGGAACAGTCAAAACCTGATTGAAGACAGCTAAATGGCCCTGAAAGGGGAGCATTTGGGCCAGTGGAGAAAGTCATTTCCTCTGTTTCAGGAAGAAGTCATCGTTGGGGTGAGGAAGGGAAGGTGCAGAGAAGCCAGCAGCCTGCTACAGGGGGTACACCCCACAATGTACACATAATGGGAGTTTAAGAGACCCCACTCTACAATTAGCAGTGACTTGAACAACACGAACATTTACATGGAGCCATCCAAATTTACCACATCCAGTCCTGGAGTAAAGACACTGACACCAAAATCTATGGCTATTCTACCCAATCAGATGTACTCAGGATCATTTCTAGACCCGAGGCCAAGTGGCTTGGAGCAGCACAGTGTGTGTGATTAAAAGCTCACCCTCCAAATGAGCTGCATGTTCTGGCTCCAAAGGATTCTGTATCAAAGCTGTTAAGTGTTGAGTTTATTTTAATACTTGCTAGCATGGTGCAGAGCCAAAATGAGCCAGATGCAATTCTATGGCTACCACGCTTCAGGTCTTAATGCTTCATCCCTACGTGCTAATATTCCCCCTACTTCTGCTTTCTGAAGAAGGAGCTCTTGGCTACATCATCCACTTGTCCTCTCAATGACAAAGACACAGTGAGACAGCAACCCAACCACAAAACATATATGAAAAGAGACAGAAATCTAGGGTTTAAGGGAATAGACCCTCATACAGTACATGCAGAATGGAGCCACTATTTAACCAGGGTTTTGGGGATGGAGTGCAGAGATTTTCTTGGAATATCAGTATTGAAGTCTCAATCTCAGCTTTCCACTGTGATGGGTCTAATTCCTCATCGACATTAATGACCATTTAAATCACCACCGTGGTTTGAACCAGGCTTCTACAGAGATAAATACCTGATAGCTTTAGCTAAAGGGTTGGATCCTGTAACTATAATTTGTTACTGCAACAGTCTTGGCATCAGAAAGCAGCAGTTACATGTCCTTGTAGGACTGTGAGCCTCTGCCACCAACATAAAGGAAAGCTGTCATCTATAGCCACAAAAACCTAAGTAAAGGTCAAATTCAACAGTCCCAAGGGCTGCAAGGATGCTTGAATCCTGCTGTGGCAAGGCCTCCAGTGCAGCTTCACACAGCCCAGCACCTTTTCATCCTCTCACCTAGATCAGCATCAAAGCCATTGGCATCCTCAGGCCATCATCAGGGGCTGGCTGGAGCATCTTCAGTGGCTTCTACTGCCCTTCCCCATACAAAGATGAGGGGTCTGTCCACATGCTGCATGGCCACTGTCTCAAGGGGAAGCTCTGGCTGGGAAGTGGATGCAGTTGAAGCCCCGTGGTCATCTGTTGGTGTGCTGCAGGATGGTCACACAGCCATGGTAACTGGTACAGCGCTGCAGCGGCGGCTGCTGCTCCACACTGCCCGTCACCGGGTCGAAAGTGAATGCCTTGTCCGTGCCTTCCCCATTCTCATCCCGGCCACCCAGGATGTAGATCTTCCCTCCACACACCGTCAGGCCACAGCTCTCCTGGAAAGCAGAAGGAAAGCCCTAGAGATAAGGAGTAAGCCTCAAGCTTTAGGTGATGGGGTTAAGTCATTGCAATGGGCTCAAATCTCACCTGCCCAGAAGAAGGGAAGGGGAAAGGGGAAGGAGGTACGATAAGTGATGTTCTGCTCTTGGGGTGCTGCAGTCCTACTGTTTCAATAAGAATTCAGGTATTTGACATGCCTCGAGACAGTGGTAGGACCACTGCTGTTTCTGGCAGCCCCCCAGGAACAGTACAGACTCATAAGCACAGCAGGAGTCCAGAGAAGCATCCATCACTTCCACATCAAAACCACTTAAAGGGGTGCACCCCGTCACTGCTCTTCACTGTGCCACAGTTCACATTGCAGCATGGCCTTGGAGATCCATGTTTAGTGTCAACCATGATGACACTAAAACAAGATACAGAGCCACCATGACTGTGTGTTCAGTCCATGGACCAGACTAGAGCCAGTATAACCCTCACCCTGAAACACATAGTGAGGTCCTCAACACCAACAGTTTCACCCTACAGATACACTCATCTAGAATTAATAGCTAGTGTAGACCCAGCTTCAGCAAGAAAACGTGGGTTTGCTGTGTGAGAGACCTCCTCCAAGCAGTATGGACACTGATGGTGGATGCATCATGAATACATATACAAATATGCTTGAATTTGCAGGTTGAAGGAGGTGATCCTGCCCCTCTACTCTGCTCTTGTGAGTCCCCACTTGCAGCACTGTGTGCAGTTCTGGTGTCCTCAACATAAAAAGGACATGGAGCTGTTGGAACAAGTCCAGAGGAGGCCACGAGGATGAGCAGGGACCGGAGCAGCTCCTGTATGGAGCCAGGCTGAGGAAGTTGGGGCTGTTGAGCCTGGAGAAGAGAAGCTGTGTGGAGACCTCAGAGCAGCTTCCAGTGTCTGAAGGGAGCCTATAGGGATGCTGGGGAGGGACTCTTCATCAGGGACTGCAGTGACAGGACAAGGGGTAATGGGTTCAAACTGACACAGGGGAAGTTTAGACTGAATATAAGGAAGAAGTTCTTTCCTCTTAGGGTGCTGAGGCACTGGAATGGGTTGCCCAGGGAGGCTGTGAATGCTCCATCCCTGGCAGTGTTCAAGGCCAGGTTGGAGGAAGCCTTGGGTGCCATGGTTTAGTGTGAGGTGTCCCTGCCCATGGCAGGGGGTTGGAACTGGCTGATCTTAAGGTCCTTTCCAACCCAAACCATTCTGTGATTCTGTGATTCTATGAATTGCTCTGCACATTCACATGCTCAGAGTCAAACCCACAATGTATTTTCCTTGCCTTCAATCTCAGCAAAGCCCAAATGGCTGCTATTGTGTATAGAGAGGGAAGGCTTAGAGCTTCTTTCCTGATCTTATTCCTTACCAGAGGCCCAGGGAGGGCGGCCACTTCTCTCCAGCTGTCTTTCCTTGGGTCATAGCTGAAGATTTTACTGAGGAGTCCTCCCACAACATAAATGATGTTGTCCAAGCAGACAGCGCTGATGCACCTCTGGTAGAAAGGGGTGGGAGACAAGAGCGTCCACTTGTTGTCCTCTGGGTCGTAACACTGGACCTGGGAGGAGAAACACAGCTCCAGGAACATGGATTTACCACATCTCCCTGCTCGGATGAAGCTGCTATTCACTAGAACAACAGGGCATAGGGACAGAAACATGGATGGGAGCTTCAGCACCCAGAGAGCAAAGGGATGAGGGGTTCTAGCGTTGCTTCTTGCATCCCAGACAAATGTAAGCCCCTAGAGCAGTTGTTGTCAACCCAGACTGCACACGGTTAAGTGTTCGGAGATGGAGCTGAGGGGCACTTATGGCTCTTCCTGCAGCTCAGGAGACCAGAAGCATCATGTTTGGCTTGCAGAGGTCTCCTCCAGGAAGTTACTGTTGTTGCTGCTTATCTGAATGGATGTCCACACTATTGGAGGTTTGTTCTATGGTGGCTCAGGGATGATCAGGCTCTAGGAAACCATGCCTGATATACTCTAACTCCTGACACCTTCCCTCTCTGATCTGTAAGTCTCATTGGCTTCCATTTAAATGCATGACTTCCCATCTTACTGTAAGGGAGACTTCATTAGTCTTCCAAAAAAGGTGCCCTGGTGGGTTAAGGACAGCCCCATTCCCTTCATGTTCCCTGGCAAACCTTTTCCATGTCCCCATCCATCCTTGATGCCCCAGCAATACCTTGTCGGTGTTAGCGGTGTCATCCACAGCACCTCCCAGCACATAGAGCTTGTTGAGGCAGGAGACCACAGCCGCCGAGCTCACGGCCTGAGGCAGCGGGGCCAAGGTTGACCAAGTGTTGGAGAAGGTGTCATAGCACTCCAGGCTGGAGAGGCGATAAAAGCCATCAAAGCCTCCCACAGCGTAGATCTGCCACATGAGGAGCAAAGCAAGTGGATTAGAAACTCCTGGGCTCACCTATGGGGCTATGCTGTCATGGTGTATGGGAGGAGAGACCAGGACTTGGCCAGAAAGATGGACATCAAGCCATGGTAAAACCTTGGGGTTGGACTAAATGACCTTTAAAGGTTCTTCCCACCCCAAACCATTCTATGGTTCTATGAACAACCCCAAAGTGTAGAGCTTTCACCCAAAGACTTAACACAGCTATCTGTAGAAATCTTGCACCATGATAAATATTAATGCTACAACTCCCTTTGTGGCTACATCAGGTGGCAACACACACAGAGTGACGTCTCCATTATGTCCTAGTTGTTCTCCCATCAAATCCAACTCCAAATGGCCCAGAAGACAAACACACACCAACAGCTTCTCATTGTACTGGGCAGCAGGAGAAGTTGGGGTGCTCCATGTGGCTTCTTCCCACATTCAGGCCATCGCTTACCTTGCCCTGAAGAGCTGCCATTTTGTGCCTCCATCGGCCTTTCTGTAGACAAGCAACCTTGATCCAGACGTTCAACTGGGAGCTCAGCACCCAGACATCGTTGCTGCTGATGTGTCCTCCTGAAAACAGAGGGATGGAGGGTTGGTGTGGTCCCAAGGGCAGTCCCATCACCTCACTACACCACAATATCTCATAGGTTCTCCATGCAATGGAACAACTCAGGCCAGGATGTGGTTATTGGGTTATGGGCATGTAAAATGATCTTCCAAAGAGAGGTACTTTATGGATTTCAAGGCATTTGTTATACAGCTCCATCCTTTATATAGAGCTCATCTGATAGGCATTATATCTAAGTGAGGCAGGAGACTGATGTTTTAGGAAGCCCTGTTTTGATGGCACACACCAAAACCAGCTCATTCCATGGCTAAACACTTTTAATAGATCCCCAACAGGAGGGAAAGGTTTTGTTCATACTGCCATCCTCCAACTCAAAAGTGATATTGTGCCTTTGGATATAATCCAAACCACCTAAGGATAATATTCACCAAGAAGTGGCTTTTCTCCAAAGCTGGATGCATGTGAATGAGTCCTAGTGAATAGACCTAAGGACCAGCATCCAAACAAAGGTGCAACCAGGAAAGCACCATTTGGTGCAGGGTGTCTCACCTGATATGTAAACATCATTCTTCAGTGTGCAGGCAGCAAACTCTGACTTGGTGTAGCCAGGCACGCTGGAGAGGGCTGTCCACTGCCTGCTCTTTGGGTGGTAGAGGTCAGTGAAGGGCAGCTTCAGAAGCCCTTTCTTGTCACAGCCGCCAATGACAATGATGACTTCTGACAGCTCCATGAACCTAGACCACGAAAGGCATGGGTAAGTTTCTGGACCAGATCTTTCCATCATCCCTCCCGTCCTATCCAGGACACCGGTAGAGCAAGATCCTCTCCTGTATCAACTACTGATTTTCTGGGCAAATCATTTCACCACTGCATCTTCCCTTTTATCTGCATGACAAGATCAAAGGCTTAGGTAGGAAGAGGTCCAAACTGCATAGGGGAAGAAAAAGGGAATGACCTTTAAAAACCCCTCATGACATTGCCTCCTGCCACTCACCCTCCCCTTTCCAGCAGAATCCAACCTAGTAATCCTCAAGGCACAGCCACAGGCATGGAAAGCCATTCCTGGCATCCTGCCTGAGCAAGCTCTCTGCCCAGAGAGAGAAATGCTTCCAAGAAATCTTAATCTCTCCCCAGCTCTAACAGCAGTGAGCAGAGGAGGCAGACATGAGAGGAAGGGAAATCCTGCCAAGTAGTAGGTGGCAAGAGAGGAGTGGTTCTGGAGGAGAGAAGGAAGAAGAAGGAAGAGGGTGAAAGAGGATTTGAAAGACTTGGAGCAATCCCCAGCTCTGCCCTGGTTTGTGCAGGTTGAGGCAATTCCCTTGAGACTAAAGCTGTGGAAGGAGGGAGGTAAAATGTGGATGCTGAGGGGTAGGATTTATCCACAGCAGATTTTAGCTGTTTGCATCCTTAAGGATGCAGTGACCCCATTGTTGAGCAATTCTGTATATTATAGAATCCCAGACTGGTTTGGGTTGGAAGGGACCTTAAAGCTCATCCAGTTCCAACCCCTGCCATGGGCAGGGACACCTTCCACTAGAGCAGCTTGCTCCGAGCCCCATCCAACCTGACCTTGAGCTTGTTCTGGTATTAGGCCCAGGGAACATGTGTCAAACCATCTCTTCCACCTGCCAGAAATGTGCTCTAAATGCCAGGTTGGGACTTCTGAGGTGCACTGGGGCAATCTCCATCCTTCTGCCCAGGATGCTCCACTGAGCAACATAAAACCCTGCACTCCTTGGGCTGAAGAATAGGAGAGCACGAGGACCCGGCTCTGCAGCCCCATGGTCCTGGGTGTCCTCTGGAAAAGCATAGGAAGCCTCACAAACCAGCTTGGTTTGATACAACAACCCATCCCAGAGCAGAGGTGTCCGTCAGCACTCTTACCGAGCACATCATAACCTGCAGCACCATGAAGAAACAGCAGAGACCTCAAATGTGGCTGGTCAAGTCCAAACTAAAGAGTCACTAAAAGGCACAGATTTCTACACGCACCCCATGCTAGAAATCACTTTTTCTCTGCCTCCCTGGCCAGCATCTCTTTATCTTCTTGCTGCTCATCAATAAATCAATGCAAAAAACAATAGTTCGGGAATGTCTCAGACAGTAACTGATTTTGATCCCTGGATGTTAGTTCCTGACAGTGCAGCAATGCCTTTGAGCGAGGCACCATGCTGATAGCCAGGAGGACTGGCGTGGTCCGAGCCTTCCTGCAGCATGGAGAAGGTGGGAGAGAAACCAGAAGAGGAGAAATAAGAGGGGAGCAGGGAATGGAAAACAGGTCTCAACCCAGTGCTCTACCCATTGGTGACAGCAGATCAAGAGCTAAAAACAGCCTTTCCTCTCCACAGCCTGAACAGACACCTGGATAGCATCATTGCACACCCAGAGCAGTGTAACTAGAACACTTCTTGCCCTCCAAAAAGTGTCACATGCATTATTATAATTCATAGGAATCCTTAAAGCGAGACAAACATCCCCAGTGCCTTCATTTTGGAAGCAGGGAGACCAAAGTGGTGAGGCACTGGAATGGGTTGCCCAGGGAGGTTGTGAATGCTCCATCCCTGGTGGTGTTCAAGGCCAGGTTAGACAGAGCCTTGGGTGCCATGGTTTAGTGTGAGGTGTCCCTGGCCATGGCAGGGGGTTGGAACTGGATGATCTTAAGGTCCTATCCAACCCTAACTATCCTATGATTCTATTCTATGATTCTAAACAAGAAGCAATCAGAGGAAAAAGAAGATAGCACAACCCAAGAACTCCCCTCAGACTTTAAGATCGATCAGCTGAGGCCATTCTGGTTTAGGGAAGATGATGCTGAGTTTTACCTTCTGGGTCTTGATCGCACCGAGCTGACCTCGTTCCCCAGGATGTAGTACTTGCGGGCCTCATGCAGTAGAGGAATGCACTCCTTAGAGTCCTGGATGAGCCCGTCCATTTCCACCTTCTCCAGGAAGTAGGTGGGGTTGAGGAGGGGCAGACGTACATGCTCAAGGAGGTCCTTCAAGGCTCCCTTCCTGCCAGGTACATCGTGCCGTACCCAGCGCATGACTGCCTCAAAGACCACTTCCTCCTTGGGGACCACCAGCTCCTCATCAGACAGATACTCAACCAGCTCCTTCACATCCATCTCCAGGAACTCCTCATGGCACGACACCTCCACAAAACACTCCAGCATGAACCTCTTGCTCTTCTCTGTCAGAGAAGCAATGGAGAATGAATCGGCAAACTTCATGATGCCCAAGCAATTGCATGGGTGAAGCTGGCCTTCAAGGAAGGTAACACAGGCATCTCTAAGCTTGGAGATCTGCAGCAAGTCAGACAGTTCCAAGATGCTTTCGACATTGTCCTCCTGAATGATGATGCTCCCCCCATACATATAATCAAGGAGGAGAGACATAGTGGAAGCAGGTATCTTCTGGATATTAATGATATCCTGGTGGCCTTCCTTGAGCTTGCCACCAAACATGGCCCGGAAGTAGGTGCTGTTGGCTGACAAAGTGGCACGGTGGCAGGGGAACTCTTGTCCATCGATCAACAGCACCACGTCGGTGAAGATGCCGCTCTGCCTGTAGGAGTTGAGTGTCTGGAGGATCTGCTCGGCGTGGCAGGACCCACTGCAGAGCTTCATGTGCAGCTTTTCTTTGCTCGGGTCCCGCGTCACTTTCTCCAGGCTGCTTGTCCTGAAGCTTGATTCTTCTTTCAGCATTCGATGCATCCTGATGGGGAAGCAGGGAAGGAGACACGAGAACAGAGCACTATTAAAACACCTGACTGAGATGTCCAGCAAAACAAGTAGGTCACAGGGCCTTGGAGCAAGCTGCTCTAGTGGAAGGGGTCCCTGCCTGTGGCAGGGGGTTGGAACTGCATGAGCTTTAAGAGCCCTTCAACTCAAACCAGTCCATGATTCTATGATGTTCAACACCAGAATCCCAAACTGGTTTGTGTTGGAAGGGACCTTAAAGCTCATCCAGTTCCAACCCCTGCTGTCTAGGGACACCTTCCACTAAAGCAGCTTGCTCCAAGCCCCTGTGTCCAACCTGGCCTTGAACACTGACAGGGATGGGGCATTTGCCACTTCTCTGAGCACCCTGTGCCAGCGCCTCAGCACCCTCACAGGGAAGAGCTTCTGCCTTATCTCCAACCTGAACTTCCCCTGTTTCAGTTTGAACCCATCACCCCTTGTCCTATCACTGCAGTCCCTGATGAAGAGTCCCTCCCCAGCATCCTTGTAGCCCTCTTCACACACTGGAAGCTGCTCTGAGCTCTCCACGCAGCTTCTCTTCTCCAGGCTCAACAGCCCCAATGTTCTCAGCCTGGCTCCATACTTGAGATGCTCTAGCATTTATTTATGTTGAAGGAGCACAGCAGTGCCACAGCTCATGCTCTGAAAGCATGACAGAGTCAGCACCACTCATTAAGTGAAGAGGGGTGCCAGTGAGGACCATCAGAGCACACCTGATCACAGCTTCTACCACGGCCATGTAGGTTTTGGCTTGCTTTTCTGAGGCTCTGTAACAGCAAAGAGACATCTGGGGGGTGTTCAGGCTCTGCTCTTAAGGACCCCTTAAGTCAGGTTCTGGAGCATCTCACCATGAGCCTCTGGCAGGAACATGAGTCCCCATTGGGGTGACAAGGTGCTGGACACCAATGGCTTCGTGGTGTTCATACACTCCCCTGCAGGAAGGCAGGCAGCACACCCCTTGAGGAGGTTTACATTGATGTTCTCATGAGCCAAACCCTGTCTCTTAGCTGTACTTCTTCATCTCTTTCCCTACACCTGCATTTCCCATTGAGTCCTTGCATCTGACCACAGACCCCAAAGATGCTCAGATTGGCTCCAGAGGACACCTTCTGCCTGTGTGTGGAACAACCAAACCTAGTCCTGAGGATCTTCACCCCACCATATCCCTTGTGCCTCCAGAATCCCCCAGCAGTGGGAAAACACCTCTGCCAATACCATAGGGATGCTGCAGAGACCTAAAGAGCAGGGAAGCAGAGTGACAACCCCTAATGACATGTCTAAGGAATCCCATAGGAGTGGGTGAAGGCTCTAAACATCCCAAACTCTTCTTATGGATGCTCAGGCCTGCGTAAAGAAGGGACCAGCTGATGGTTGGTTCAAAGTGCTTTAGAGAAATCCCAACAAAGACAGGTCTCTAGAGATGCCTTTGCAAAGAGTGGGATGGACTCATTTCCTAACACATACAGCTCCAACCAGGAAAGAAACAAACATTGCTATCCCCACTTCTCTCCCTGATCCGCACACATTCCAATCCATCTGCTCACGCATAGCTCCATGCTGGGAAGAAGCAGCTTAAGTTTACAAAGAGACATTCCCCCCTTCCCTCCCCAGTTAATCCAAATGCTTTTTCCCAGCTCACATCCCTCCAGCCTACCCATGAGAGAGATGATGCCAATGCCAAAGAAAGAGTGGGTTTGCCCCTTTACCATCACCCATACTCCTCTTTAGGACACCCTCTCCATCCGAGTAATACATACAAGCAAATCCTACATTACTTACATATGTGTATATATATATACTTTGCAAGACTCCCCAATGCAAGAACTCCAACATTACCTTGCTCACAAGTTGTGTTCTCCAGGTCGGACCTAGCAAAGACTCAACCTCATTCCCGGAGCGCTCCCATCCACGTTAGGACTCTGAACAGAGCCAGATCCCCTCTGCAAAGCACACTGAGCCCTTCTGCAGGGGAAGCACAAAAGCATCCCCTTTATCCTCACTGCTGCGGGCTGGCGGGGGGAGAAATCTGCTTTTGTTTCTCCTGAATGACATGCCAGAGAGCTACAGGGCATTAGCCATGCATCTGTCAGTAACAGCCAGGCAGGGAGGAGCCGGGATGCAGGGAAAACCCATCCCAGCGCAGGGAAAATGCATCACACCAGGGCAGCTTAAGAGGGGCTGAGCCATCTGGAGAGCACATTGCGGTCCAGGTGGAGCGATTCATTGGATAGAGGCTCCGTGTCACTTGGAAAGCACACTAAAGATGATAAAATACGGCTCTATGAGCAAAAAAAAGGCTCCTGGAGCAGGAACGGAGCGGCTCAGGGAGGAGCTGCAGTGCCCCTCATTAATGTAGCATAATTAAGTCCTTGAGGCTGATGAGAGCAGAAGGAGAGGTTGATCCCATGTGGTTTTCTGCACCCTCCCCTCTCACTCCATCCCATTTTGAAGCGCCCATAGCAGGGATCAAAGCAGCCCTGGGGAAGCTCCACGCAGTAACCCTTGTCGGCTCTAACGTGATTGCAGCCAGCCCTCCCTCCACTGCCCAGCATCACTTGGAGTATTCCTCACTAGATAGAAGAGAAACACTAACAATAACCAGCCCTCTGAAATCACCTTTCTGCGGGGCACCACCATCACATTTGCTTGCTGGCTCCTTTCTGCTCTTCTCCCATCGCTGGGATGCAGGGCACAAGCTGGCATCCGGCTCGCTCCCACCATTTGCATATGAATCACTGGCAACCTGGAAAGGACTGGTTTCCCAGCCTGTGCAGAGGGCTGGGAGGATTGGGGTATTTGTTCTTAGCACCTTCCACCCTGATAGAGCTGGCACTGTGACCATGCCTGTGCTTGGATGTGGATAGAGAGGATCAGGACACAGTGGGGCAGCACGGCACTGATCCTGCCCTGCGGAGCACAACAAAAAAGGTGTCCAGAGGGTTGGAATCTCTTCAGCAAGGTTGCAAAGCTGTCATCTCCTTGCAGCCATAAAGCATGGGCTACCAACCCCAGCTTCAAGCAGTGTGTGCACCCCAAGGGTGGGGGGAACCGGCTACTAAGAGCTGCAAACCCACAGTTACCACAATGAGACGGTTTTGCAGGGTGCAGATGCCCCCATGACCATGCCAAGCTACTTATGGAGGAGATTTCTACAGCCAGATTGCACTGCAGTTGGCCCTGGGTATCCCCACGTGTGCACGAAGTGGTTGTCACTGTGCAAAGGCTGTGCTACAACCCATATTTGTGGAACAAAAAGCATGAAGTACCCCATAGCTGCAGGACATAGGAGGGATAAAAGGACGCTAGGGGTGAAAGGGATGCTGGCCAACATCAGAGGAAGGACACCTTATACAGGGGCAGGGCTTGACCTCTCCTTTCCTCCCAGTGCTCTGGGTCTGGTCTCAAGGTAGACACAGACACCAGAACCAGTGATCTGACAGTGAATTAGGACTCTAAAATCCTTTATTCGCGTTGAAAATACTCAGCCCCTGGCACATAGAAGCCAAAAGGCAGAAAGCCAGGAGAACTAAAGAGATGCAAAACAGGAATTACAAGTATGTAAGAGCAGAACTCCAGGCATCTGCTGGGGAAAGCTCTATGTGAATGTAGGACTGAAGCTGCCCAAAGGAGCAGTGTGCATGTATGAGGAGAAAGCAATAGGAAGGAGAAGGATCACAGAATTAACCAGGTTAGAAAAGACCTTTAAGGTCATCAACTCCAACCGTTCCCCAGCACTGCCAAGGCCACCACTAACCCATGGCACTAACCTATCACTAGATTCAGTTTTAAGCATTAATACCCAACAGGGTGCACTAATACAGTTGCCCTGTGGTGTCATTTTGTTCTTCCAATCTTGCTGAATTATTTCTGGATTGGTTTGGGTTGCAAGGGACCTTAAAGCTCCTCCAGTTCCAAACCCTGCCACAGGCAGGGACACCTTCCACTAGAGCAGCTTGCTCTAAGCCCTGCTTTTATTCAAGTAATAAGCATCCATTTACACCTAATCTCAGTACTGCAGGGGAAAACAGCTTCATTTTTAACTGGCAGTGCTCTACCACAAAGAACAGAAATGACTTTAACTACAGCAGAGCACTGTTAAACGGGTAGGTAAAATAATCACACAAATGGAAATTATAAAGAGTAACTTGGAGATGTCCAACTGTGATGCAGCTAAACTGAAAACAAGGAAAAAAAGAATGGCAAAGATAAGAGGAAACGTAGAATAGAGGTTTGGGTAAATGAAGTAAAGGATGCTATGGAAACATCTCGATGGAGATGATCAGGCTTTGGCCTGTACCTCCCCACCACATGCCCGAGAGAAGGAAACACATCCTATCCAGGACAGCTGTCTGTGCACTCCTGGCATCACCACCCAAGGCTCCACCTTGCCATGGAGAGAGTCTGGAGACCCTCTTCTGGCCATCAGCCAGGCAGCAGACGTGAAAGGCAGGCACCAGTCTCCGGGGGAAGATGGTGAAGCAGGACAGCCAAGTAGATGAGTAAGGGCAGAGAAGTAACTAGAACACAAACAGGGTCCAGAAGGAAGAGAGGAAGAAAACAAAGAGGTTTAAGAGAGGGAAAAAGCTCAGCTTAGTTTCCTGTTTCACCTGAGGTTAATACTCACACTGAGGGTGAAACCTGGTCAGGAGCTTCAGCCAAGAAGAGGTTGCTTGAACCAAGAGTCCAGAAGAGGAGCCAGCCTCCAGCCTCATGCTGCTGCTCACATCATGACTACACATTTCACATTGCATTGGAACTTTGAAAGCTCCTACCCACTGCATCATGCTAAGGCTTTAGCAGAGATAGAATCATAGAATGACCAGAGCAGAAATAGAATGGTTTGGATTGGAAAGGACCTTAAGATCATCCAGTTCCAACCCCTGCCCTGGACAGGGACACCTTCCACTGGAGCAGCTTGCTCCAAGCCCCTGTGTCCAACCTGGCCTTGAACACTGCCAGGGATGGGGCAGCCACAGCTTCTCTGAGCACCCTGTGCCAGTGCCTCAGCACCCTCACAGGGAAGAGCTTCTGCCTTATCTCCAACCTGAACTTCCCCTGTTTCAGTTTGAACCCATCACCCCTTGTCCTATCACTGCAGTCCCTGATGAAGAGTCCCTCCCCAGCATCCTTGCAGTGCCACTTCAGACACTGGAAGCTGCTCTGAGCTCTCCACACAGCTTCTCTTCTCCAGACTGAACAGCCCCACTGTCCTCAGCCTATCTTCCTATGGACAGGATATTCATAAGATGGATAGATATATATATATATTCATAAGATCCTTCTGATGGCAGATAACTGTGTATGCCTAGGGTATGGTCACGTCAGCATCACCTCGCAGACCCCAGCACTGCAACTGCCAAATGTAAGGGGCTGGAAAGGTTCCCAGACACCACGAGAACTATCCCAGCTGCACCACTAAGCTCTTACAAATAAGGGCAGGTTCAGAAAGGAAGAAAAAAAGAGTTCAAGACCACAATGTTGGCTGTCCCAAGCCATGTGGGCTTCAAGCCAGCAACCAATCCTCAGCTCCTTTATTTGAGCAGCAGACACAGCTCTCATTTCCCTCCTCTCAGCTTCTCAGTATCTTTCCCTAGGGTACAGCAACCACAGCCCCCAGTTAGGGATTATTCAATAGTGTTGATGTCAGGAGCTGTACCCCTTCCCCTAGGGCACTTTCATATGTAACACCCCAATGATAGCCCCAAAGCCAGTCAAATTCCTGACACACTACTGAGTACCCATCATCAACCAGCGAGATAGCTGAAAGGGATTAAGGCAAATCCAAGCCTATCAGTCAAATGCAGCCATTGAGGGGCTGGAGGAAACAGATGCTTAACAAAGAACAACCCCATACTGACCCAGACATGATCCCCTTCTCACCCAAAGCACCCTCTGCGTGCAGCTGGGAGCAGATACTGGGGAAAGAATAGGCCAAAGAGAGCAAAAGGTCCCATAATATCCATAATTAGCAAAGAACTGCTCAGGGAATTCCCAAGCAGGGCCCTGCATCCGGACTCCGGTGTTTAATAAGTGCTAATGGATGGATGAGCCATTTATTGCGCCATGAACTTGCTTATGGTTTGTGGCTCCCACTGCACCCTGGGGCCATGACTTGCATAATGTGTGTTAGAAATAAATTGCTTCCCATTTTTAAGCCAGTTTTGGGTTTAAAACTGCTGCCTGATGAGTTCTGTGGGTGCGTCATTGTCCCCATGTGGCCACAGACACTGAAAACGTGTTCTGCATTTACTGTTCACAGCTCAGGTCTGCAGTTGTCTCCTCTCTACATGACTGCTTTACAGTTACTGTCCTAAAGAACCGGGAGGAGAGAGAACCAGAGAATCCCAGCCTGGTTTGGGTTGGAAGGGAACTTAAAGCTCCTCCAGCCCCAACCCCTGCCACGGGCAGGGACCCCTTCCACTGGAGCAGCTTGCTCCAAGCCCCTGTGTCCAACCTGGCCTTGAACACTGCCAGGGATGGGGCAGCCACAGCTTCTCTGGGCACCCTCCCAGGGAAGAGCTTCTGCCTAAGAGCTCAGCTCAGTCTCCCCTCGGGCAGGTTCAAGCCATTCCCCTTGGCCTGTCCCTACAGGCCCTTGTCCCAAGCCCCTCTCCAGCTTTCCTGCAGCCCCTTTAGGCACTGGAGCTGCTCTCAGGTCTCCCCTTCACACAGCAGAGGGTCAGGATCCCCTCCCTGAGCTGCTGCTCACGCTCTGGGGGTGCAGCCCAGCACACGGGGGGGGGGGTCTGGGCTCAAGCGCACCCTGAAGCCGGGTCATGGGGAGCTTCTCCTCACCCAACACCCCAAGTCCTTCTCCTCAGTGCTGCTTTCAATTCCTTCATCCCACAGCCTGCATGGATACCAGCATCTGCCAGGTGCAGGACCCTGCGCTTGGCCTTGCTGAACCTCATGATGTTCACGTGGACCCATTTCTCAAGCTCGTCCAGGTCCATCTGGAGGGGATCCTGTTCCTCAGGCACGTTAACTGCACAGCTCAGCTCTGTGCCACCAGGAAAAGATGCAACATAACTGTACCACCACTCACAGTGCATCGCCACCCCTCCCTCCGGCCACACCTTTATGAAGGTCTCCTGAAGCAGAACCAACAGCATGAAGATCAAGGCATCACCATGTTACAAGCGATCCCAGAACACAAAACATCACCACAGGCTGGCAGGGGAATACTGACAGTTTATTTCACAGAGCATTGCAGAATTTATTTTGGTCTAGCTCTATTTTCATCCCAAAAGAATCATCCTTTTTTGTTAAAAAGAAAA